AGCAACTAGCAACATGTTCTCCCTTCCAATGCCAAGCTGAAGAACCAGCTTGTAAAGAAATAGACTGAGTAACTTTTCACCTAGAAAAAAATATATGAATCCTTTGGGAAAGCACCCGGCGTTCAACTCTTATGCAGACGACCCAGATCAAAATCTCAAGGCACCTCGTGTTCCTGACATGTAAAGCCCTCTTTGGGCATTTAGAGTTAGGTAGCTGCCAAGATAGAATTAGACTGGATAGGAAGATAGGAACTGGGTATGTTTAGCCTAGTGAAAAGAAGGACTAAGGGCGACATGATAGCAGTCGTCCAATATCTCAGGGGTTGCCACAAAGAAGAGGGAGTCGGGCTATTCTCCAAGGCACCTGAACAAGAAGCAATGGGGGGAAATTAATCAAGGAGAGAAGCAACGTAGAATTGAGGAGAAATTTCCTGACAGTTAGAACAATTAATCAGTGGAACAGAAGTTGCCCCCAGAAGTTGTGAAGGCCCCAACACTGGAAGTCTTTAAGAAGATGTTGGATAGCCATTTGTCTGAACAGTATAGGGTTTTCTGCCTAGGCAGGGGGTGGGACTAGAAGACCTCCAAGGGCCCTTCCAACTCTTCTATTGTATTGTATTGTATTGTATTTAGAATCCTTACATTGTCACAGATGGTCCCAAGTCCATCCCTTCTTGAACACTTGGCTCTTATCAGGGCAATCAGTTTATCTATCAACTTAATACTGAACTCCGGTTGATTCTTACGTATAGGCGTTAAGGCTTTGAACAGCAACCTATGATCCTAATTCTTTGCACCTGACTGATGAGAGGCCATATTCCTTGCAAATTTCCCTAAGTATGACTGACTGTCTCACTAGGATATAGAAACAGAATACTGGAGGCTTCAACAGCTGATGGGGAAGTTTACATCATCTCAACAAGCTGGTTCCACATGAGACTTGGCCGAGCGAGGTAGGCAATGGGCAACAGCAGGCAAGGGTTGAAGTGCCAGCTGTGGGTTCTAGGCCTTTGATCCCGCTTCCCTCCCATCCGATGGACCCACAACAATCAAGGATGATAGATGAGGCTGATTGGAGACGGCCGGCAGCTGTTCTTCTGTTTAGACATTTGAAATAAACGCTTTGGCAGGGGAAAAGTGAATCATGCCCCAATTTTAATCCAGGGGATCTTGGGCCTTCTCTGTGAAAAGTCTCAGGATCCCTGCTTTTTGTGTTCTTGAGTTATAACCATAATTGGGTCCGGATGTTCAGCCACTAAGCAAGGCATTCATTAAGCAAGGCATCTGTTGACCTGATTTTACCACCATTTTTACTGCAGTCAGTTAGAGGATTCTTTCTGTGGTTAAGCGAAGCACATGGGCGTAGAGTGAATTCGTTGTTAAGCAAATCCAGCTTCGCCCGTCTCCCCCCTCGTCAGAAGCCAGCTGGGAAGGCCCCAAATTGAAATCCCGTGACACCCCCCACCCCCAGGAGCCATCGTAAAGGCTAGCCAATTGCCAAGCGCACCCAGTGACTCCCGGGGCTGGTTGCGTCTGTGCAACGGTCATAACTTGGGAGGATGGGTTTTTAAAGAAATGCCCCTCCACCTTCCTCTTTCTCTATGCTAACAGCCGAGGTGGCGCAGTGGTTAGGGTGCAGTACTGCAGGCCACCTCAGCTGACTGTTATCTGCAGTTCAGCGGTTCTAATCTCACCGGCTCAAGG